AAATTAAAAATAAATAAAATAAAAATTAAAAATAAATAAAATAAAAAATAAAAATAAATAACATAAAATAATAAAGTAACATTTCTCTCCTGGTGCTTCTCTTTAACATTTTCTGACCAGAGAAGTCAGTTTGCTGCCCTGTACTATGCAAGACTGGTTGTCCCCCTAGTTTCTTGTTCACCTCAGAATCGTATTCTTGGGAATTTCTTTTAAATGTCATTTTTTTTTCAAAAAAAAAAAAAATATTGCCAGGAGCTTCTTCTCTGGAACAGAAATGACGGGGAGGCAGGAGAGAGCGAAATCGGCCTGCCTTTTCTGCACAACAATAATAATTATGACTGCAGAAGAGGGCTAAAATTACACGTCTCGTGACGTATGCCTTGTCCCTCGTAAGGCAGCTCAATTCCCGAGCACCCTAAAAGAAAGCAGGGAGGATCAATTCGGCCAATTCCCTCCGAATGCTTCAGCCAGGGAGGATGGGCCGTGATAGCTTTCTGCAATCTGATGCCCTCCAGATGTGTTGCAGACTAAGAATTCCCTGAAAGCATCTGGATTGGGGAAGGCCATATTGTGCACGGATGGATTACTCTACCCCTGTGCTCTTATCTGTTTTTTTTTCTCTTCCCCCCACAACACAGCGAAGTTAATGTGCTCAGCCCATCCTGGAGCCCAGTTAGCCTTTTTTTCTCTAACTGCACTGAAAATTTGTATTACTGAAAAAGAGTGTCCATAATAATCCTTCTAAAAGATGTTGCAATGCATCTGCTGAATCCTGAAGTATTTAATTTTTGCAGTCAAGAGCTGACACTGGAGGGAAGAGAGCGGCAACATTTCCCTTGTTTTCCAAGTCCCTGGGCTAACACCGGGAAAGAAATGCACTGGGTTTATATTTCATGATGTGCTTTCTTCATGCATACTTCCCAGAACTGGGCGGGGTGATGGTGGTGTTAAACAAAATGAATGCTCAAGAGGACTTGGAGGAAAAAAAAATACGAAGCAGAATCTGGTTGATGGGAGGTAAGATGGGAAGAGAAAAAAAAATACAGCAACAGTGAAATAAATAAATCTGCCCCCCTCCAGCCCTTGCAAAGGGGGGGGGGGTGCAGAAGTGGGAATACGGTGCATTTATAGGAGAGGTTGCAAGTACAACACTGAAAGACGTTAAGTGCTATGCAAACTTCTCGCTCCCCCTCATCTTGACATTTCCCAAGAGAATAGCCAATTCAACTGCACATTTTACTTTATTTAAACATTTATATCCTGCCCTTCTAATGCATTTTTTCCCTGGAAAACGAGCGTGTGAACTGTCAGGTTGTGGCTGTTAAGCTTGTCTGGGCAAAATTCTCTTGTTTGCAACCGTCTCCAAAAATAAAAGCGAGCGAAAATGACATGCCAGTTGTGAGCCTCTGAGGTAAACAGACAAAACAAATGTCTGCAAACATGTGCCATCAACTTCACCAGATGTCTCTCTCTCTCTCTCTCTCCCTCCCTCCCTCTCTTTCTCTCTCTGCAAACCGAAGATAAATTAACATTAAGAATGCATTCCTTTCCTTTCATGAGAAACCCCCAAAAGCAGAAAGTCTGCAAAGGAGAAGATCTGTTAGTTATGGGCATGGTTTGATTGAGGCTTCAATAGGAGTTGAAATTTTAAAACCAACCTGCTTCTGGAAGTATAGGAGAGACACAACTTTCCCTGGGAAGAGCAACTTTTGTGTGTGTGTGTGTGCGCGCATCATTCCATTCATCCCAGACTTTCAACGCAAGGCCCCTACCTCTTGTTCAGAATAGAAGAAAAGGTCTTCATGAAGTTCTCCGTCCGTCAAGGCAATAATGACACTGGCGGTCCTATAACCTGATGAGGGAAGCCATTTGCAGAAGTAGAATTAATGGTCAAGGACAATAAAACAACCAGCTACCATCTTCTTCTACTCAAACATGATGCCGTACACCTGGTGCTGTTTGCAAACTGTCATAGAAGTTTCCTTCATGTTTTACTACAACAGAGGTCTCCAAACTTGGCAACTTTTAAGACTTCAACTCCTAGAATTCTTGTGTACTTCATATCTGGTTGGAGAATTCTGGGAGTTGAAGTCCATAAGTCTTAAAGTTGCCAAGTTTGGAGACCTCTGTTGTAAACCCTAAACTTCTAGATCGAGGGTCTCCAAACTTGGCAAGTTTAAGACTTGTGGACTTCAACTCCCAGAATTCCTGAGCTAACATGACTTGAGGAATTCTGGGAGCTGAAGTTCACAAGTCTTAAAGTAGCCAAGTTTGGGGACCCCTGTACTACAACATGAAGACAGTCACGTTTGCACAAACTCAGGTTTATGCAAACTACTAAATATTTAATGGAGTGGTTAAATACAATGGCTAGAAACGGAGTTCCAACCTTGGGCACGGATGTTGGCTTTTGCCAGTGCCTCCCTCTCTCTCTCTCTCTCTCTCTCTCTCTTTCTCTCGGTCCTGGGAAGAAGAAGGTGATGCCAAACCACTTCTGGCAATGTTGCCAAGAAAACTGTGGGGACTCATCAAATGTCAGGGCTGACTCAAGGAAGAGAGCCAGTTTGGTGGAGTCACCAGACTGGAAACTGGAATTCTTGGGCACTTGGGCAGTTGCCAAGAGTCCAGAGCGACTTGAAGAGGTGCCAACACCCACCCACGTGCAGGTTTCATAGGAAAGCGGGCACCATTCAGGCATTTGTCTTTTCCTGTGTGCTTAAATCAGAGGTCCCCAAACTTGGCCACTTTAAGACTTGTGGACTTCAAGCTATGCTGGCTGGAGAATCCTGGGAGTTGAAGTGCACAAGTTTTGAAGTGGCCAAGTTTGGAGACCTCTGGCTTAAACTGGATGTGATCTCTTCAGAGAACTGTAAATTCACATCAAGCTGAACTCTGCCTCACCTTTTATTAAATAAAAATTACAGATGGGGTGCAGGAGAAACAGTGTAAGGCTGCTGTTTCTACCCAGAGTCATGCATTGATTCCTTTTCCCAAGAGGGAAGACTTGGGATGGCTTCAGGGCAGGACGGCCCATCACGAAGAGACAACCTATTATCATTCCAATTACATTCTTTGCCATCCGCAAAGAAGGCAGAATTACTGCCCAAAGGTGTTCTTATCGTCCCAGGATTGAGCCTGGTCCGGGCTTGTCCGTGGTCTGCCTTTCCAACGATCACACCACAGCGAAGAAGCAATTAAAGTTAATTTGGTTGCTGCTGTCAACCCGACATGCTCAAGTTAACATACTGCTGTTATGAAAGTGAAGATAAGGATTCTGTCTGAAGGGAAAAAAAAAATGTTCCAGTAATTATCAGTCTTTGTCGAATATCAAAAACTGCTACAGGGAATTTTCTACTTTGGAGAAGAGTAGCTGGGTATCAAATGACTGCATTTTCCAGAGAGGGTGATGATATATTAGGCAGGGAACAAAACAGAATAACAGAGTTGGAAGGGACCTTGGAGGTCTTCTAGTCCAACCCGCTGCCTAGGCAGGAAACCCTACGCCACTTCAGACAAATGGTTATCCTACATCTTCTTAAAATCTTCCAGTGTTGGAGCATTCACAACATCTGGAGACAAGTTATTCCGCTGATTATTTGTTCTCCCTGTCAGGAAATTTCAGGTTCTAGGTTGCTTCTCTCCTTGAGTAGTTTCCACCCGTTGCTTTTTGTCTTGCCTTCAGGTGCTTTGGAGAATAATTTGACTCCTTCTTTGTGGCAGCCCCTCAAATATTGGAACACTGCTATCCTGTCACCCCTAGTTCTTCTTTTCACTAGACTGGACATACCCAATTCCTACAATCGTTCTTCACCTGTTTTAGTCTCCAGGACCCTAATTGTTTTTGTTGCTTCTCTACACTCTTTCCAGAATCTCAACATCTTTTTTATAACGGGGTGACCAAAACTGGATGCAGTATTCCAGTGTGGTCTTACTAAGGCTTCATAAAACAGGATTAACACTTCACGAGATCTTGATTCTATCCCTCTGTTAATGCAGCCTAGGATTTAACAAAGATAATTTTACACCAATTTCATTTTAAATTGTTTTTAATCAGATTTTAGTAATCATTTGTGTCTGAAACCCCAGGGCCAATCGATGGAGTAAACTCAACTCAGTTAAGGAGCGAAAAGTAATTACCGCCACTTTATTGAATGTATTCTTACCTTGAACATTTTCGTGGTAAATTTGCTCGCTGGCCTAAAACAGAACCAAGGAGAATGATGAGGATGTAAAGTACGAACGGAGTTTAGTTTCAATCGCCCCTGGCAAGAATATGGTGCCACCCACTGAGAAGCAGACAGGGAAGAGATGGAGGCGGCAGCGGTCCAGCCACAACCACAGGGCCAAACAAAAGACAAGTCGGACCTTGTGACCGTGTGGTTGGAGCCTCATCCCCGTGTGTATCTTACGTGGAAAGCCTAACGAAAACCGTCTGGGGCTTTGATGGCATGGTGCAGGGGTGGGATTCTACCGGTTCGGAGCGGTTCAGTAGAACCCCTTGCGCCAAAGATCAGCTGGGAGCGAACCGGTTCGCTGCGACGAGTATATGGGCCCACCCGCCTGTCCTGGTTCTTTCCTGCGCTTTATTTCCTTTTGTCAGAGCGCAGCTGATTCGCGCAGGAAAAGCGGTTTGCCGCAGCTCAGCTGTTTTATTCACAGGGACTCCTGTAGAAAATACGTATCAGAGCTTTCTTAAATGTGCAGCGCGTGGGCAGAGCCCGCATCTGGTGCGTGCGCAGTGGGATTCAAATTTTTTAACTACCAGTTCTGTAGGCGTGGCCTGGTGGGCGCGGCAGGGGAAGGAGAGTGTAAAATCTCCAGTCAGAGGCGGGATCTGATGGTTCTTCGAACTACTCAAAATTTCCACTACCGGTTCTCCAGAACTGGCTAGAACCTGCTGAATACCCACCTCTGATGCACACGCAAAGTGCGCGATCCCCAAACCGGTTGTTATACTAGTGGAATCCCACCCCGGGCATGGTGGCAATCAACATCTTGCTGTCTTTCACACACCTACTTCCCAGGAGTGGGCCTAAAGATTTTTTTTAGCAACAGGTTCTCTGCCTGGTTGCTGGCTGGGGGTGGCCGTGGTGGGCGTGGCCTAGTTGGCCTCCTGCACCACGGCGGGAGGGGGAGCGTTTTGACCTTCCCCAGACTCCAGAGGATTTCCTCGTGACTCCAGGAGGGTGAAAATGGCTTCCCTGGGCTCCGGAGGCTCTTTGGAAGCCAGAAACGGGCCCATTTCCGGCCTCCCCAAACTTCGTTTTTTGCCCTGCGTTTACCTGCCTCCAAAATGGGCCACAAGGGCACTCCTGAGGGGGGAGGGGAGGGGTGGGGTGGGTGGGGCTAGCCAGGAGTAGGATTTGGGGGTTCTCTGAACTGCAGAGAATCTTCTCACTGAACCCCTGCGAGCTCCCAGCAGCCCAGCCCTGTTCCTTCCCATGGAAGCTGCCTGCCCTCTGCCTGGAGCACCCACCGCAAAACCAAGACGCAACTTCTCTGTTCTTATTTACCCTTTCAAATCCTTCGTGCATGTAGGTGTCCCCTCCAGGCAGGACCTTCTGAAGCTCATCTAACCCTTGACGGATTTTTTCCCTGGAAGAGCAGAAGAGACGGCCTTTGGTTAGAGAGGACGCGGATGCAGATTCACAGAGTTCGAAGGGACCTTGGAGGTCATCTAGTTCAACCCCCCCTCTGCCCAAGCGGGAGACCCTACACCATTTCTGACAGATGGCAGTCCAGTCTCTTCTTGAAAGCCTCCAGGGATGAAGGTCCCACAACTCCTGAAGGCAACTTCTGTTCCATGGGTTGATTGTTCTCCCTGTCAGAAAATTCCTCCTTATTTCCAGATTGAATCTCTTTCCTTGTTCAGTTTCCACCCATTATTCCTTGTCTGGCCTTCAAATGTACTTTGGAGAATAGCCTGACCCCCTTCCTCCTCTGTGTGGCAGCCCCTCAAATACTGGAAGGTTGCCCTCCTGCCTCCCCTGGTCCTTCTCTTCACTAGACTAGCCAAGCCCAGTTCCTGCCACCATTCTTCAGATGTTTTAGCCTCCAGTCCCCTCATCATCCTGGTTGCTCTTCTCTGCACTTTTTCTAGAGTCTCAACCTCTTTCTTTATAGTGTGGTGACCAAAACTGGATGCAGGACTCCAGGTGTGGCCTTACTAAGGCTTTACAGAGTGATATTAGTATCTTCTACGGGCAAGATAGCGATGCCAGAGAAGTCCCAGCTCTGAACTCTCCCACTGTCTGCTCGAAATAAAACATTTTGCAATGCTGTGGCGAGAGGGAAACTTTGAGGAAAACTATTATTATCTCATTGTACAGAGACAGCCAGAACGGCGAGGTGGCTGATAACTATTTTGCTTTCTAGGCATGGGAAAATTTCTCTTCCTTAGGACTCACATCTCTTTTTTTATTTCCTTTATTCTTTCCTGCCTCTCCCGAAGATAACATTGCCTGGCAACCTGTGAGCAACATTTACAGAATCCCGAGAAAGCCCAAAGGGAGGGAAAAGGGGAGTCAGCTGGATCCCCCAACATCTGCAGAAACACAAGTGAGAAAAGTCTCTGGGTCCATCTGTGGCGATTCCCCCAAAAAGTAATGAGGTCTCAGATTTGCCCCTCCCTCCCTCCTCTTCTCTTACTCTTGTCATGCTACTGCATTAAAGCAGGGAGGGTCTCCAACCGTGGCAACTTTAAGCCTGGCGGACTTCAACTCCCAGAATTCCCCAGCCAGCAAAAATTGGCTGGGGAATTCTGGGAGTTGAAGTCCCCCCCCCCATCTTAAAAGTTGCCAAGTTGGGAGACCCCTGGACTAAAGGATAGAAACCTAACTTGTGAGGAACAAGGTATGCTGTGAGAGAGACAAAGGCAAGGTATTATATTCAGGGAGGGAAAATGTAGAATATTTCTCTCTCTCTCTGTCCCTCTCTCATCTATCTATCTATCTATCTATCTATCTATCTATCTATCTATCTATC